CGGTTAGTCACTGGCTTCCCACCGCGGTGGCCCAGGTTCGATCCCAGGTCTAGTCAAGTGGGATTTGTAGTGGACAAAGTGGCGCTGGGGCGGGTTTTCTCCAAGTACTTAGGTTTCCCCTGCCAATCTTCATTCGACCAAATTCTCCATCATCATAATCACCCAGGGCAGGCTACAATAGGCCAATCAGTGTCCCCTGTACCGAGTGGACCCAGTTGGCCCCCCCCCTCCACTAAGCAAATTAAAAAAAAAAATACAGGATAGGCTGAAAAGAGCTGTAATTTGTTCCCTTGTTCAGTTACACTTACAGAATGAAGAAGACAGAAGTACTTTTGTATATAATAATGTCCAATGATGAACCCCTTTAATTTTGGGAAGCTGTTTCTGTTTTGAAGAATCTATATTGATACATAATGTAACTTCTGGTTTCAGATATCAAGACACATCCAACCTCATTCCGCTGATGTTTATTCTGAGTTCAGAATCAGATCCTTTTGAAGCATTTCAGCATTTTGCAAGTGAAATGGGGTACAAGGATAAAATGCAGTCTATATCACTTGGCCAAGAACAGGGGCTTCTTGCAGAGAAAATGATTTCCCTTGGTACAGTAAAGGGAGAATGGGTATTTCTTCAGGTATGAGCACTGCAACTTCATAAATCCTTCACTAAAAGAAGGACTCTGTCATTGTGAGAAATAACATGCAGACAGTCAGTACCATCCTGTGAGTCATCACTATGTAATGTGATCTACTGAAAGCAGGAATGAATAAGTAAATTGAGGTCATGCCATAAGTGTATGCATGTAATCGGAAATGGCTTTCTCATCTTTTGGGCAGCATCTTGGGCGTGGACAGTTCTACTTAGTCAAAAAACGCACAGAAAGATGAAGCAGACATTCTGTTCCCTGGCTTCAAGCAGATTACTTGTTCTCGTAACAGTGATCAGTATCCTCACCACACTACTGCTTCTCCCCATGGGAATATGATAATTGTAATCAGACCCACACATTTTGTTTATGGAGATCTGCTATGTAGTTTTGGTACCATGTACCAAATTTAAAACATTATTTAATTGAGGTTTATTTCAAGGTCAACGCTAAGAGAAGTAGAACATCAGACCATACAAGTAAATGCAGTTTTTGATTCGATGAACAAATATGATAAGTGCTTGTTCTTGTTTTCTTTGTTGAAGAATTGTCACTTGGCAACTTCTTGGATGCACTCAATGGAAAAAATCATCCAAAAGCTCTCAGAAAGTCCAGAGAAAGTCCATCCAGATTTTCGGCTGTATTTAAGCGCAATGCCTTCCAAAGCTTTCCCCATCTCCATCCTTCAGAACTCAATCAAAGTGACCAATGAATCACCAAAGGGTCTGAGAGCTAATCTGAAACAAGCTTTTCTTCAATTAACTACGGACATTTTTGAGGATCATCGTAAGTTGGTGTCTTTTTAATTGCAAAGAAGAGTGACTTAAAAGTACATGACTACATAGAAGTTGTAAAGTTTCTCTTCTGGGATATAATGCAGTGTGAGTTTCAGTGAAAGTCAACCGATGTTTCAGAGAAACATATCACTTGCATCTTCAGGTCTGAAGAGTAAACCAAGCAAGAAATTAGCATGAAGAAGAGATCATGCAACTCTACATACAAATCTTTTTTAAATTTGTAACTGTACTGGACTTTTACCATGATGATGGAGCCAGCAGGTCTACTGAAATATTGGTATCTGTCAAACTATGGCATCATATCCCAGAAGATCATAATCTTGATACTTATCACTGTGAGGACTTCAAATCTCACATAACATATGCTTGTTCTGCTGCCATTTTGCTTCTTGTCTTGGTTTCTTTCAAGATTCATATATTTGACAAGAAAAGGTTTGCGTTATTAACTGTTTTAATTTTTAATGAAAGGAAAATGTTCCATGAAGTTATTCTAAAAATACGTTTATTTGGAATTCTTGTTAATAAAAAATAGTATTTTAAAGTAACAGACTTTTACTTAGAGAAACCCTAAAAGAATAAACTGGAAATCTAGAAATAAAGACCAGAACATCAGTTATTTGTTCTTTATATAATGACACTGTCACTAACTTGGACTGTATAGCATCTAATCCTCAATTTGTACTATGTAATGAAGTAAAGTAAAAAGGAAAGTTGTCCCCGTGCTTAATTAAGCACCATGCCATGAAGGCAAATGTTGGTGCAGGTGTATAGATCCACATTTTCTTGACCTCGGAACTAGTTGAAGAGTGGTCAGCTTCACTCCATGGCTGCTTTATACCCAGGGAAAGGGCCCCCCATACCCATTGGATATGAGACTGGGTGGGCCTCAGAGCCGGTCTGGATGCTGTAGAGAATAGAAAATTCTTGACCCTACCGGAGCTGGAACTCTGACCTCTCAATTGTCCAGCCTCTAGTTAGTCACTGTAATGACTGTGCTCTCCTCACTTTCAGTAAATAATGAATTGGAAATGAAACAGAATAAGGTAGTGATGGCATAATTTCTGGTACTGTAATATCATGGCATTTTCTAGAAGGGATTGAGGAAAACCATAATTCAAGGTTCAAACCTGGTACCTAGTTAGAAGCATTACTTCTTGAGCCAACTGGCTTGATGGAACAAGAATACTACAGGGTGATTCATATAGAACTAGCCCAATGAAATGAGGTGTAATATAAAATATGCCATAGAGATATTAAAGTAATTTACACATATCTTATCTTGGATTGTGTGCTGTGATCAGAGCAGGTGTTGAAAGTGTCCGCCATTTTCAAGTAGGCATTAGAAACACTCGCTGTTCAACAGTGTACTCCATGACTGTCGCCTGCCCACTGCAGACACGTTTCGGCATTGTCCTTGACCTTGCAGCATAAGGGCTGCCACTTGCCGGATCATGCGCACCCCATCTGACTCAGTACAGCCCATGGATTGTTATGTCGTAATTGTGAGCCGTTATATGCATCACCTGCAGAATTATTAGCAAATTCATCGGGCCGGTTCTATAGGATTCACCCTGTATAAGAAAAAACAGGAATGGCATTTTAGGTATTTTTAGCACAAATTAGGCCTCATGTTTTGAGTATTTTACGTAATATATCATTGTCTGTGATTGAATATTACGCATTTGAACTTTACTCATTTTTTGTAGGAAATGATAAAGTTGATGCTAGTTTGTACTGAACTGTTTATTAATTTGTTATACAGTTCTAGTATGGAGTTTAACAAATTTATGCGTAACTGTTCCAGCACTTGGTCCTCAATGGAGAAAGATGGTTTTTGGTATGTGCTTCTTTCATGCTGTGATCCAAGAAAGGAAGAAATTTGGGCCATTAGGGTGGAATATTCCATATGAGTTTAATGACAGTGATCGAGAATGTACCCTGAATACCATGAAAATGTTTTGTGTTGATGACAAAATTCCATGGGATGCATTGGAATATATTATTGGTATATATTCATTCATTCATGGGCTGGTATTTATTGAACATATTTTTTATTGCAGATTATGTATAATAAATGTGTGAAAAAACATATTTTAATGAATTTTGCTGTGACTCTTACAAGATTTTATTTATAAGAAAGGCCAGTGATGTTATGACTCAAGAATGCTTAGGTAGTCATGCTGAAGTTAAGTCCATTATATTTCTTATTCTTCAGCTTATGAATTGGGCCCACTGACCTGTCATAATTCAGAACTAACTTCTGAAGTGATGAATTCCCTTTGGACATGTGGAATTTCTTGAATGGAAGGCTGGTCCATCACAAGGCCTCTAACTCCACAGAGCATCATAAAAAAATGCTTGTCCCAAACGGGAATTTAAGCCATGATATCTTTGTTTGAGTGGTCCAGAACACGACATGGTATTCACTTTTGAGCCTCTATGATTGGCATCTGCTGTATTTACACCACCNTACAATCACCCAAATTACAGATTTACGATTACTGCTATCTGCAGTATCACAATTAGTACACTCCAAATGCCAGAATACAACTGACTAGTTGCTGGCTAACTCGGCGGTAGCTCCAGGACTCACTGACTGACTCAGTACAACTCGACTCGGCGACTGTTACAGTACAACTCGCTGGTAGCCACATTAGAACTGACTCGCGGCCACTGTGCAGCTCACCNCTGTGACTCTTACAAGATTTTATTTATAAGAAAGGCCAGTGATGTTATGACTCAAGAATGCTTAGGTAGTCATGCTGAAGTTAAGTCCATTATATTTCTTATTCTTCAGCTTATGAATTGGGCCCACTGACCTGTCATAATTCAGAACTAACTTCTGAAGTGATGAATTCCCTTTGGACATGTGGAATTTCTTGAATGGAAGGCTGGTCCATCACAAGGCCTCTAACTCCACAGAGCATCATAAAAAATGCTTGTCCCAAACGGGAATTTAAGCCATGATATCTTTGTTTGAGTGGTCCAGAACACTACATGGTATTCACTTTTGAGCCTCTATGATTGGAATCTGCCGTATTTACACCACCATATCTAAATACTTCAATAGCATTTGAGTTACACAGTGCTTATAACTAAAGCTGGTAAAATACTTATAATACTTTTCAGGTGAAATAACTTACAGTGGAAGAGTGACTGATTACTTGGATCTGCGCTGTCTCAAGACTATTCTTAGAGGCTTCTTTATGTCTTCTGCTCTGGAGGATGGTATGTTTCTAAAGTAATTTTCATCGTCTGTTTCAGACTCTGTATAAGTGCACAAATTCACAAAACTTCCAAGTGCCAGGGCTAGCTGGCGTGCGGTTGTGCATTGAAATAATTGGACAGGAATCAGTTTATGAGGCCAAGTTTGTTGTTACCTAACAATAACTCCACATTTTAAAATGCAGAATTAAATGGTAAACAGCTCATGAGAATCATGTGCATAAAATGATTGATACTTCCACTTCATAGAGAAGTTTGATATCACTGTTTTTAAAATAAAAGCCATTGGGACATTGGGACACTGTGACACTCCAAAAAGCAGCACGGCACCACCCTGAATTTACCTAGCTTGACTATTGCTGTAGTTGTACAGAACAACTGCAGAATGCAGAATAAAATATACAGTAGTAATTAATTAAATTATTGCCTTACATTAAATTCCTGCTTAAAATGTGCAGAACTGTAATTTAACCTGTTGTTTTGTATGGGTATGAGACTGATAGAATGTGCATAAATTGGCATGTATGATTTTGAATTGTTTCNCACCCTGAATTTACCTAGCTTGACTATTGCTGTAGTTGTACAGAACAACTGCAGAATGCAGAATAAAATATACAGTAGTAATTAATTAAATTATTGCCTTACATTAAATTCCTGCTTAAAATGTGCAGAACTGTAATTTAACCTGTTGTTTTGTATGGGTATGAGACTGATAGAATGTGCATAAATTGGCATGTATGAGATCAGGTTGCTGGGAACAGTATCTTCATCTGAGAGGGTTGAAGTGACATGAGGATGGGGCAAACTGCAAAATGAGGAGCATCATAATTCATACTCTTCATCAGATATTCATCATCATTGGCAAAATAGCACCTTTTGATGCATA